TTCGGTTTCGACGAGTTGCGTTTCTTGGCTTTATTAAAAATATACGTGACTCAGTAGCAAAATATCGATTGGGTAGTCCTCTGGAACCATATTAAATAGCCTAATAAACAATTAAAAAATTGTGGAGGTGTCAGTGTCTCTTTAAGGTGACACACAGTATAGTTGCGCGCGCGCGTGAGAATGATACGAAAAATGAAACCATGTACTTTTTCAGGAGCGCGGGTGAGCAGCGCTGTGGACGTTACGCTCACTTTGGCAATGAAACACGATATGGTTGACGCCTAGTGTAAGTTAAAAAGCCTCAGAGCTAAATTTTCCTGCCTCCCTAAAGAAAGGCACCGCACAGATTGGACACGAGAGCAACGTCAGCTATCGGCTAGGATTTGTGTCCTCGCCGAGTGAACACGAGTTCGACACGGACGCTGACACGCCACTCCTGTCCAATCCGTGAACTCTACCTTGTTTCGTAACGTAGGAAAATTCAACACTAAGGCCTCCTTATCTAGCGGGAGTTGGCAGAGCTCCGGTACGCTGAAAATAATAGCATAGACAAAATAAACGAGCGCAGCAAAACGAGCAACCAAATTAAATTTTCTCAAGAACACTTTTTTTCGTCTCTGAAGTATCTAAAGTTCTTCAAAAGCGCCATGGACGTAGTGCGTTGAATTTCTGGTTTTGAAAAGATGCGTGGACGCAGTCATCATGAGCCTATTTCTCACTGCCGCCAAATTTGATGTGGAGAGACCAATGTGGTCTTGCGTTAATGATCCCTACAAACCATACGTTGACATTAGTACACTACATGGTCTCCGACCAGCAAAGAAGTGCAGGGCGTGGCGAGCATCTTATTATCACGGCGTAGCCAGTGAGATTGCGACAAATGCCGAAGAGAATTTGTCACAATCTCAATGATGAGTCACACCGGGCGTTTCTTCAGCTATCGCTGACAAATTAAAAGTTTCGTAATTACAGCCGACCGATCAGACGCCGTTTTAGGGCAGGATTAACTCCTACTCCCTTAACACTCGTACCCCATTATTTGTTTTGAATTTAGAAGCAAAACGAAATTGCCCAGTTAATTGCATTTTTTATGCACCAGCTTTTATTTAGTCCCCGAATCAAAATTGCATAAACAGAACTTAATAATGCCAATATTTAGTTTGAAATATCTATAGTGCGGTGCCGGTAGAGAGAAGACAACGCGAATCTTCAAACACAGCTGAGGAAAAAAACCGGAACAGATCAAAATAAGACACGGGAGACAACGAGGACGTCAATCGTACTCAAGCAGGATACATGTGCCCAAAGTGGGTACACATCAACTCCCAACCAGATTCCGCAACAAATAGGTGGTATATTGCAGCTTGGTAGGGACAAGGACAACCGATAACATAGTCAAGGGGAACAACCGAACGACCACTAAGCAACAAAACATTTTGGTCAAGCAACAGCTAGCAGAAGAAAACAAAATATTTTTTTTATAAAGAAACGTTTTCATGTTATTGCCTGGATAAACGGAGATGTTGCTAAAACAATTCGCGCGACTATCAATCATCAACTGAAACAACACAATTGCTTCCGGAAGAGATAATTCACTAATTCTTAACAATCAGACTTGTCCTTCAGCGCTTGTTTATGCGCAATTAACATGTAATTAAGTCACCTAGAAGACAACGAGCGATGAAAAACCAATCCGAGGGTTGAGAATTAAGGAGTCATCTCTCTTCCTGTTGCAATTGTGTCGTTGGCTGGGAAAGTAGTGAGGTGCTCCACAGGGAAGGGGATTCTTGCAAACGCTTAGTGAGAGTCGTTGATGATTGATAGGCACGCGAATTGTCTTAGAAACATGTCCGTTTCTCTAGGCAATAGCATGGAAACGTTTCTTAATCTATACCTTTTTTTATTGCTTTAGCATAAGTGCCTGCATGGCAGGAAAATCTGATGTCGTCCGTCTGTAGACAAAACGGTGGAAAGGGAAGCGCGCCGCGTAGAGAGGAGGAGAATAGTGAACGATAAAGGCGAGAGGTATGTGACGTCACGGGGCGGAAGCCAATGTGCGTGCGGATGCCGGAACGAGCCTAAACTTGCAGGTGTGCGCAGCGCGTATGCCTTGGTTTGGCCTACAAAATGGAGTGTGCACCAAGTGGCAGCGGAAGACGGATCGTGAATGGAGGAGACGGGCTGCCGAAACCGCTGAACAGGGAAACCAGAGTCACGCATCGGATGCCGATGTGCGAAAAGGGCCAACGACACAAAGGACCAGTTCTGATTTTTATATGTGGAATAGGTCTATTAATTACTGCAGAAAATGTGAAGCCATCAGGCCAGGAAATGATGGCCATAATACTCACTCCGGGTGAAAGGTGCGGCTCCATCCAATTCTGAGACGGGGTTTGTCAATCGCCTCTTGGGGGTTTAGACCGTGCTCGACCATGTTCAATAAAACCTGAAAGACGAACCATTTCCGTTGTAACGTACTACCTTTTCGGCTAATTAATATGTTCTGTCGTGGGGACTACTATCATTGACAGCTTAAAAACCTCTGGGCGTGGCGAATCTTGAGAGTTCTATTGTAGCGACCACGAAGATTGATGCATTAGCGAACGCCAGAAAAAGAATTGCGAACCAAGAAGAGCAAACATAATAACTTCATTAAGCTACGCCCTTCTTAGGTTGTCATTAAGTATAGTGCTTCACAAACTACTTAATAATTTTCATTTTTGAAAAAGAGTGCGGGCGTGCAGCCGGAGTTGCAGAGGCGCACAACAGATTGCAAAGGTTGTTTCTTTGGGCTGAGTGTAACTTCGATCGATTTACCTCCACCTCCTGCACCTGCGCAGAAAAGTGTAGGGCAATGCACTTCCGGTCGTATCTCAATAGACATACCGGAAGTACACTGTCCTACATTTTTCTGTACCGGTCCAGGAGGTGCAGATAAATTGAATGCAGCAAACTGATTATCATCCCCAACCGATTCCAAGGCTTAGAGTGAAATCAATGTTAGATGCTTCCTGGACAAATCAACTGGAGGCCCTTTTCGGATTATTTGAAGGGAAACGAAGCGGTTCTGTACCTGAGTAAAAACACTTAATACAGGTTCACGAATACTGAGATCATTTTTCAATTCGGTGCACGGAGTCTGCGAAAATCATTTTCAAAGTACCGATGAAGCCCCTCCCTCCCGGAGCGTGACGTCATAAAAGGAGTCTTCCACGGAATCTCCGATCCCGCGCATCTTGAGCGCCTATCAAAGCTATGCACGCGCACTTTTTCTATTTTCAGAAATGTCAGAAAAAGACGTCACGACTGGTGTCAGTGCGGGGGAAATATACCTGGCAAGCTTGCAATTGCACCCGCTGCCCACACGAGCGACACGCGCTTGGTGGGAGAAGGATCCTTTATGACGTAACGACTGGTCGGAGATTTTTCGTCGTTTCTCGGGTTTAGTTATATCAAAATGGTTTGTTGGGTTAGTTGGTTCATGACTGGATAGAAGCGTTGAAGGACTGGAACATTGTGACGGAGGTAACGAAGCGCTCTGTGTCGCCGTTACCTCCTTCACTTGGTCCTTGTCCATCGGCGGTTCTCTCCAGTTTAGTTACATCTGCGGAAAAAAACGCACGTGATGTTCAGATTTACGGGATAAAAATACGCTAAAAGTCAACCCTAACTCATTTGTTTTAAGAACCTCTTCAGCTCTTCTTTAAGTTCAGCTTGTCCTGACAAATTGAAGTCTCAGTAACTCTAGGCCCTTTTAAGGTTCACAAACATCAGCCGCTGCATTCGTCCCATGCGACTTCCGGTCTCTTCGCCTTTGCAAGCTCGCCGCGTTTGAGAAGTCACCAGTGTTACAAAGCATAAATGCAACACAGACAACAAAGTTGGAGATTAAGCGAGGGCCTTAGTCTGTATGATTCAGCGTCTTGGAGGAGGCAAGTCAGTTTACGAGATATGGCAAACATTTGAACCGATATGTTGCGCTTTATGGTTGCTGTGGCGTTGACCTGGAGAATCGGCGGTCAGGCGTTTCATCGACGTTTCAGCCAGCGGTGTGAAGGTGAGCTTTGTTCATTATTTTTTTATCGCGTTTGCAAATAAAAGGGGCTATAGTCACTGACAGTTGAAGAAACGCAGCGCGTCGGCTGTTCTGAACATCGCATCGTTCTGAAGCTGTTAGTTGTTAAAGAAGCAAAGCTGATGGTTAATTGGTGAAACCTGGGGTTAGCTTACACGGCACTAATAGTTTGGAGCGCATTAGAAGTGATTTTAGCCGGGCTTCTAGAACGTATGCGGTTCTAAGACAATTTTTTTTTTCTGTTGTTTTTTTTGTTTGTTTTTTTTAGTGCAACTTTTTCAAATGCAAGGGGCGGATGGAGATCGCCCGAGTCTGCTACGCAGATTTACCAACGCCATTGATCGTTGACCTGCGATGTGTTGGCTTTAAAATTCAGCTTAATAATGACAATACTTTATAAACGCAAATATACATAAAAATATAAAGCAAGAAAAAAGAGTTCATTGCAGTGTCCAAGTTGGCGAACAAAAAAACGGTGCTGGTGGGCGATGGTTTGATCAAAAGAAACCTGATGGTAACGGCTGGGGGGTTGAGTAATCTTAAAGATTAAACTGTCTTCGTAAAACATCTGTAATTTAATATTTTCACCAGCGGTAATTTAAGCAACTTAGACAAGAGAGGCATAGATTTTAGTTAACATGTTTTCGATGTTAGCAATAGCACCACAAATTTGTTTGTGGCGAGATCATGAGATAGAAACCAATGTGTTTCTCAATATAATTCTCAGAGCCTAAATCGTTTTGTGGAGTTTTGTTTAAAAACAATATTGACTTCTAAAACTTTATCCCTACAAAATGTGTCATGAAGTCCACTCCCCTCGTGAAGGTGTAACCACCTGTGTCGAAGCTGGTACATGATTTCCCAGATTTTCATCAGCTTCTCAAACGGGCATCCAGTGAAGCAACATTGTACTAATTCAGTGTACCTTGAATTGGGCTCACTGTTAAGCAGAGTAGTTACCTGCAGGATTGCTTGTGGTTGTGCACTCCCTCCCACTGTACCAACTAGAGACAACAGTTTTCCTGAGGAGCTGTCTGTGACCAACACTGGCATCAAGCTGTGAAAAGGCTTCTTGCATGGCGCTGCGCAGTTGGGGTGTTCAAGCATTGTGTTGAAACCATCGCCACGTGCCTAGAAGTACAAGTTCCGAAGTAGATCGAGAGTCACTTTCAAGCATCACCACATCTACAACATGCCTTGTTAGTATACGAGCTTTGGGCGGGAAATATCGACGTCTATTCTGTGTCTCACTGAAGCTTTGAACAAATAAGAACACTGACGATGATCGCCAACGCAAACACACAGCTACTGCAGGATGACAAATTTTAAATGCTAACAAGAGATTCGATTAGTGATCTTTGTACTCGTCGACACACAAATTTAAAGAAATGCAGTTTTAGCTTTAAGAGAATGGATATACGCGCACACACCCCGCGACACTGTTAGCGAAAACTGGCCACCGCCGCCCCCCCCCCCCCCCCCCTTCTCCCCTTTCCGTACGGAAGGAGTGTCATCAAAATTACTATAGTTGCGAAAAGCACTCAGCTTGGGCATTACACCGAGGTGGTAAATTGTGATGCTCGCTTGACACCTTTACAAGTAAAATGCGAAAAACCGCTGAAGTCCCGTTCGCGCCAGACTTGTCGCGCATTGAACAAAACGTATGTCCATAGATGCTCAAGGACGTGATTCACTTTGTCACAGATGTCTAATGTCTACTCTTCTCAGGGGCTCCAGTTGAAGCGACGTGACTTGCATCTGCATTTGTGCTCTTCTAACACCACTTCGTCTCAAATCCAGAGGCTATAACTACATAGTATTCCCATTATTATATGGGAAACAAACTCGAAGTTATAAGGGCCTTTAAAGTGAAGCAAACGTTACTAGAACCACTCAGTTGGGAAACTGCCATAGAGACTGCTCTAAAAAAGTAGTCCCGATCTGTCTTCCAGAACCGAGCTAATGGCGAACACAACACCGCCATTTCTCACGCAGCGGCCACTCCAGGAACTGCACGTTACTTCTATTTTGGCTTTAATCGGCCATTTTGGCACCGAAACAGATACAGCGGAAGAGGTTACAGGGGTGCCACCCCCGTCTCCCCAGCGGACGCGCCGCGAATTACTACAGAAGTTAAAATGCACCTAGGTCGGGACGCGCTACCTGAAAGCACCGCTGAGGCATGGTTGTATAAAAACAATATTAATTGTTCCGCAAAACCTTGCAAACTATAGATAATAAAAATATCACACGCGCTTCATTTTGCACTAAACTCAAAAAAATGTCAAACAAAAAAAAGTATTTTCCTTTTGTTTTTACGCTGTGAGCATATGTTAACCGTAGCCATCTGTTATTCTTCCATCCCCTCTGCCGCCCCCGCTCCGTTCTTTCCTTTCAAATTGCTCCCCGCAACCCGAGTTCTCCAGAGCCAACGAGCCCTCGCCGTTCGATCCACCGTCCGTTCTTCTCGTCCTCAGTTCTACTCATCGCCCAAATGTAAACACCAGCCAAGTCGACTCTACTCGCAAGCCCCGGCAGCCGACCTGTTCGCCGCAGCTGTAACCTTGCCCCTCACCTCATAAACTAGCCTCGCCCTCGCCCCTGCCCCGCTGCCATCGTCTCTTCGCCTCAAGATTCTCCAAGCCCGCGTTCTTCTCTTCCAGTTGCTTCCGCCCGTCCCCCACTGACTCAGACATACCCTCCTTCTCAGTAATAAACATCTTAATCTTTAAACTTGCTCTTTCTTCCTGGGGCCTACCACCGGCCCTCACAACGCACAAACATGCTTTCTAAAAGCTCAATAATAACCACAGTACACACAAATCATAAAGAGCGCTGTTGTCGTATTTAGCTCGGTCTCGGTGGACGCCAGCGGCCCAGGTTTCGACGGCGAGTTTCCCAACTGAGTGTTTTAGTAACGTTGAGTGAAGCATATAACCGGCGCTCAAGGTGTACCCGTACAAGCGCGACCTCGCCCTTTCACTGCCTTACACCAGAGGGTTGTCCCCCAGGATAGAGTCAACAAACTATAGTCACTGACAGGATGGAAACGGCAGGGTAAATTTTCAGTTGTCTTGCCTCCAGCGCGAGACCTTTAGTAACGCTGCGGCGTGTAGGCTACATTCGCGAGCTCCCTGCTCTAGGGCACATCTCGGCGGCACAAGCTCCCGTGCGTTAAAAGCAGCTCCCAACACTATGAGCTCGCGCTTCTAGCCTTTTCTGCGGTACAAGATAAGGTGAAACAGAGTATAGTGAGCATCAAGTATGCACGCGCCTTCAAAACACAACGAAAAGCAACGAACGCGTGCTGTAAGAAGGACGTTTGAAAGAGACGCTCGATAGCCCTCACCTTGCCGTCGACTACAGAAACTCTAACAGTAATATGTTTATGTTATAGGCCTGTAGCTCTCAAGTTCTGAGCAACGTTTCAGGCGAGCAAAATAGAATATTTGACTCGCGTTGCGTCAATGCGCTTCCCCACCGCAGATTTTTTTTTTATATATATATATATACTTTGAGTTCCATTTTAAGTGCCAGCGTAGCAGAGGGTAGAAGAGCGATCTGCGAGCTTTCAGCGTCCCTGCTAAGCACGCGCGTTCGTGCAGTGCGAGCGTCTTTCAGGAAGAGGTGCTTTTGCGAGTAGCTTCGGCTTTGCTATCACGTAAAGTGAAATATGCGTGCTCGCGGAAGCTATGAGAAAAAGCAAAGATGAAAGGAATGTTTATTGGGACGCGAGCTGCATATTTCTTTTTTTATACGTTTTCTTACCGCGCATCTACAGATGCGTGGTAACAACCTTCTATTCGAACGTGGCACGTGCAATATCGAACGTCACAGCGCCACACGTATGGTGCAGTCAGCATAACATGGTCGCGTCTTGCGAACGCGCTCGCGCCTCTGCCCCAGAGCAACGGGTCTATAGAAGACTATAGGCCTCCTGCACTGAAGCATTGAACAAACTGTAGCGCCCTCATTTTGGGTAGTACAAGCTCACCTGATCGTGTTTCGCACTACTTAGAGCACGTTGGTTGAGCTTTTTTTCATTCTGTGTAGCGCTGAAGAACGAAAAAACACCTATGGACGCCAGAAATGGGCCTGACTCAACGTTGCAAGACAATCGAAAGTGCCAAATTCATGACACCACCGCTAGGGCACGCGTCTCTTATCTCTGGGTGGTGACGTCAGAACACCTGTGTCGCGACGCTTTCATTTTGTTTTCATTTTCATGTCTACTTTGGAACACGTGAAACGGCATCTCTTGGCTCGCTCTTAGCGTCTTAGCTCTGACGGCGTTCGAATTTTTGTTGTTTCTTTGTATTTTCATCGCGATTTCGCGCTCCGCACCAGAGCAGGCTCGCTTCTGCATGCTTGACAGTTTGAGACGCTAAAGTTTGTACTACCCAAAAGAAGTCCTAACAAATCCCTTTTCGCAGCACCCCCTGGGCAACGCAGGAGGCCTATATGGTGGAATGAGTGTGCACATTCGTTTGTTTGTTTTTTGCGTTTATTTGTGACACCTCTATAGTCCATTCTTTGTTTTTTGCCGGCCTATGTTTAAGTTAACGGGCCTTTCAAATGTGCCGTCCCTAGTGACAAGACATTTAATAGACGGGCAGTGCAAGCCTTACGTGTACTCCGAATCCATACTCTGGGACAGTGGTACAGCCAAAGGGATGAGCGATGCTAGTGATGAAGGAGCATGCGTTTCCCCAGGGGTCCACAGCGGCCATGAAGGTAGTGCCGCCCTGTTTGCCATTGGGCAGGTCCTTCGAGCAACGGGGCACGAACCTAGCCGATGAATCGGAGCGTTATTAAGTGGTAAAAATGAGACGTTGTTTACACCATAGTATGCTTTATTATTCCTTTTTTTTCAAGTTGTTCGTTTAGAACAAAAGTAATCTCTTGTGGACGTCCATAGCCAGCACCAAGTAGATAACTTCAAGGCGTTCACAGTGACTCCGTTTTACGGCTGTGACGTCACTACAATGACATTTTACGAAAATCGGGGAGAGTGGGCGGATAGCCAACGCCATCTAGTTGCATAGTGAGTGCCACAACGTGGCATAACTTGGATAAGCATGCCTTGAAAGGAAAATAATGCTGGACCTTCGGAAGAAGCGTAGTTTACGTTTCTGCCAAAGACTTGCTTCTTCGAACTTCTAAAGTAGCTCAGCCTCCTTGTGAAACGTTGCTCGGCGTTCAATCTTGAGCAGTTCCCCGGAATTAAGGATCATCTGAAGCCAAGCCTGAAGATGCTTCGATAGTGAGCTTCTCCCATCACCGTTAGAAGAAACAGATAATTAAAAAAAGGAACGAACCCAATATATGTGCCGTGATGCCCACAGCCTTACCTCTCGACATCAAGGAGTTCTTTCCTCTTCTCGCCATGTTCCTTCCGTATCAGTTGGTCTATATTCGAGAACTGTGGATCGGCAACGTGAAGCAAGCCGTCTTCTGAGGCCAACCTCATCGCTTCAATCACAAGGTGATAGTATTTTGCAGGATTCGACTTGGTAGCTAGGCAAAAAAAAAAAAAAGGTAATATTTTTATTACCATTATTTTACTTGGGTAGGTGGCAAGTCATAGTGAGTGTAAAGACCGGACCACAGGATGCGAAAAACGACCGACTACACTGCGAAAGCCACGAACGAAATTCGAACGGCCAGCTAGGCTTCTCCCCTCTTACGAAAATGGGAAACGATTTGAGATACAGAGCGCAAGATATTTTATTGGACGAAGTCTCCAATTTTCGATGGCTTGGCGCGAAAAAACCTCGCCGTGCCTTGAAGAAATAGTAAAGCATTGCGATTTCTGTGCGTGTGTGTGTGTGTGTGGGGGGGGAGGGGGGGAGGGGGGGGATGCCTCATGTGGCCCGTCTTCCGAAAATGGCGTACAACGGTTTTTCAATGGTCCGATTTCCGTCCGATTCTGTGTCTATATTTTCGCATCATGTGTTCCAGCCTGCACTTACAGTTAAAACTATGGTAGAAATAAATGTATTTCCCCTCTGTACCGATCTCCTACTATTTCTAGTAGAGCCGAACGGTTGGATTATCATATTTACAAGGTGGAATCTACATGCTTTCTTCTATCTGCAATTTGCAAACTCCATTCAATTTTAAATTGCTTAGTCCGTTTAGAACGAATTACGTTACGTGCAGCTTCGTTTCCACGGCAGTAAAAATAGATTTTAGAAACATACAACTTTGTTTGTTATTTATTTAATAAGGAAATTGAAAACTGGACTTTACTTCTTGGCAATATTTGAGTTACAAACTCTATGGTTTCTCGTTTGAGGTCATTAACATTTCAAATGCGTAATGACGTCATGATGCAACGAGCATGAGCATCTTTCTTGCTGGGAGAACTCTGTATAAGGATTTATCGCCAAGGTGCATAACTCATAAAGCCATGGAGATACCTAACTTCATCTCGATGTCTATACGTTAATGAAGGTTGACATGTAGCGAAACGAACAGGTTGTGCTTTTAATTATTACTAAGAGTCGGCTTGAACTTTGAGACGTGCGGTATAGAAAACGTTTTTGGCCAATCTGCCACATCCTTACATACACATCGCGACACTGTTAGCGCGAACACGACTTTGGCGTCTTTTCGCAATTTATTAGGAAAGAGTATTAGTGGGCACACATTTTTACCCCTTATATGAGAGCCCTAAATGAGTTCCTTCTACAACAATAATATATTTGATGACATCCTTTCGGTTCTAAGAGAAAAACAAAGAAAACTGTCGATCGCTTGTTCGCACTAAAAGTGTCACGCTCGGTATATCCGTCCCTCTTTTACGAACTAAAACCTCTGGTGTTGCTCTTGAGATTAGCAGCTTCTTATTGGTGTCTGTGTGCGTAAAGTAAATCCTGCTCTAATTTTAGATTGTTGGCCCCGCTTATTTATTCCGAAAAGACTTTTAAAATTAGTTAACCAAGAGCGAAAATATGAGACGCCAAAGGACACCGGTGCTGTAAGTTTCGATTGGCAAGGTATAAGCCCCAAATGTTTGAACTTCCCTGTAGAGGCAAATCCATCTCATTGCCTTTAATGATGGCACACAATGACGATCGAGAAACACAAAACAAATAATAATAAAATTAATAATAATAAGCGAACGAGAAAGAATAAAAATGAACTTGAAGAGAAAGGTCCATGAAAAAGAGGAGGGGGGAAAAGAAAGGAAGGTGAAGGAGAGAACAAACGATGACAGTAAGAAGAATACCTCCAGGCTAACTTCTCTGCTTTCTTTTATTTCTCTAATAAAAAGTGGAAGGGGGGGAGGAGGAACAGGAAAAGAAGAATAAGAGGGAGAAGTAAGAGAGGAGGAAGTAGAGTGACATTTGTTTTAATTTGCATCTTGCTTCGCTTTATGTGCCATGGAGCTCTAGGTCAGACGAGCAAAACTCTAATTATGATAACAGTAGATTTTTTTTTTTTTTTCAATTCTGCTTTCTTGGCTGCGTAGGTATACATGCCAGTTGAACGCACGTTCAAGATCGAATAGCTCGAGGATGTTGAGGGCGTCCAACAAAATGGCCCCCTGGCTCGGCAAGGGCGTCGTGTGCACCGTCGTGCCTCTGTAGGTCGTTGAAATGGCTGGCAAGACCGTCGGCTCGGAGGACTCGAGGTGTTTCCGCAGGTCATCCAAGGTCATGAGTCCTCCGACCTCCGCCACCGCCTCCACGATGTTTTGGGCCACGGGACCCGCGTAGAGGGCGCTGGGACCTTCGTCCGCTATCCTCTGTGAGCAGAAACGGCCACAACTATACAGCGTGTCCACGAGTGCTACTTGGGTGCAAAAAAAATTTAGAAATAAACCAACAAACAGAGTACAGTCAAACTTTCCACAAAGATGTCTTATAGATTATGCACTTGTTATACCCCAATTTCGTGAGTGGTTTTTTTTTTTTAGAAAAAAAAAAGGCAAAAAATAAATATACTGTTCTCAACTCCAACACCCTATAGATGGCGGGGCGGTAGTTCCAAGATAGCGGAAGAGACGGGGATATTTATTTTTTTAATTTCCCATGCGCCTGCTTGCTGATGCATGTAAGTGTGCAAAAACCCATTTATTTGACTACACATGCGAAGCGGTCAGGGCAGCAGCACAGTGACGGAGATGACGTGCTTGAAGAAAATGAGCACGTTGCTTTTTAAAAGTTGCGAAGCGGATCACAACAATTTATATTTTAAGCTGCTCACATTTTCTGTTAAAACTGCATGATGCACCAACATGCCTACCAGAACCATGCGGTAACAGCAACACTAAAGCCGACAGTCTCCGCCAACGCGTCCGCGCCGTCCTCGCTTCTCTAATCCTTTGTTCGTTCACGAGAGTGAGAGCGGCGGGCTGGAGTTGGGAATACAACAGGGGGAACATACTTGGATCTGCTGGATCTGCTGTACTTTTGAGATGCTTTAAAGTGTTTGTACAATAAGGTGCTTCATGTCAATCTACGCTTCTCTTCGGCTTTCGCCTCGTACGTATACAGGTAAAAACAAGCTTTTCTCTTGGATTTGTTCTGAGAAATCTACGCTCACAGAATATGACATTATAAATGCACCTCTTAAAGGCGTTTTTGTAAAAAAGTTTCATTGCGCTCAGTTTTTGGCTCATTTACACAAATATTTTTTACGTCCCAACAGCGCTCGGAAGCACCCTGTGGTTTCATTATTCGCTAGGGATTGATTTGGGGGAAAAGTCTGATAAATCACCGAAAAATGAGAGGCAGAGTAAATCTGGCCACCGCTAACAAAGTCTGGGGGAGGACACCTTGGAGGTATGTCTGCATCATGTGTAAAGTGAATAGACGCGGACTGCTCAAATGTTTTTTTTTCTTGTTTTTTTTTGCATTTGTGGCTTCTGATTTTTTTCGTTCGAGGGTCCGCTAGTATATTAATATGATCTTTGAACGTAAGTGTTTCATTCGAAATTACATTATGTTGTTCTTCACTCTAAAAAAAAAAGCCCGTGCGTCTACTTTTCTGCACAACACTTGGAGAGCAAATCACCGCAACTTATGAAGGCAGCTCAGGTCGCCTGGCTTCCGAGCTATCAAGCCGTATCGCGATGAGCTCCGTAGGAGCGGTAACGGCCGCTGATAGCCGTGGGATTTCTGCTGAGTTAGGCTCCCAAGGATACAGGATCGTACTGCCTCCCCTGCCCAAGGGCGCTCACGCCCTGAATTCTGTCTTTCTGCACGCCGACATTACGGCGCGGCCTTATCGCATTGAAGATTTTAAGCCGGACTGGAGAAAGCGGGAGTACTAGGCGAAATAGCCGCATGTGGTTCATTTCGGATGAACCACGTGTGGATGGTGACTCTGAAAACACCGTCGGCAAAGAAGAAGCTGGTGGACGCCGCGTCCTTCGAGGCTAAAGGGAGACGCTGCATCGTCGTCGACCCGGAGAAGGCCGAGGTGAGGCTGAAGCTTCATTGGATTTCTTTTCACCTTCCGGACGAAACCGTGAAGAAGGCCGTAGAGCCGTATGGCAAGGTTGAGGACGTCGCCCGAGAGACCTGGCGTGTCGGAGGCTACGAAGGTGTGCAGTCGACCACCCGAGTCGTGAGGCTGACCCTAAGGGAAGGCGTCACGCTCGAAAACCTGCCGCACCAACTACGGCTCCTAGGCTGCGCGGCCTTGGTGCTGGCCCCGGGTAGAGCTCCGCTCTGCCTCAGGTGCCGTCGAACCGGCCACATTCGTAGGGAGTGCCGAGTGCCGCGCTGCGAGAGCTGCAGGCGTTTCGGACACCTACGCGACGACTGCAAGAAAACCTACGCAGACGTGGCTAACGGCGGCCCTGAGGACGACGCCTCGGAGCTACTCATAGACCAGGATGAAGCTGAGGACGCGGCAGGCGGAAACTCGGAGGACAGCCAACCTCAGGGGCGGGCCGAGACCACCGTGGTCGTCCCACCACCCGAGACGTCCACCACGACCGAGCCCCCCGCAGATAACACGGACATCCCGAAACCGGTAGGCGACGACGTCGCACGCGTTTCGGCCCTCCAGGGAGACGAGCGCGGGCACGACTACACCCGCCGGGAGTCGACCCTGGCTGCCGTTGAAAGGAAGAACGACCAGAAGAACGGCGAGATGGACGCCGTGGGTGGCTCTGCCAAGCGTTCCCTGGAACCGACACCAACCCAGGAGCCCGGTCAACCGCAGAACCTGCAGGAGAGGGTGCTCCAGAGGTGGCAGACGGTGGCTTCCAAGAGGGGCCGACGCCACGCCCCCCCCCCCCCCCTCAAGGACCACCGGAGAGCCACGTGCCGAAGGCTCCATAGTGAATGAACTGTACTGCGGCTGAGTAATATTGCTTAGGCGGCCTAGTACAAGTAAGAGTGTTGTATTTTTTGTATGTGTTTACGTGTTTGACTTAAGCGGCTTTTTGTATCGTAGCCTAGCCTTCTCTCTATTTTAGCTCCGTGATTGTAATATGTCTCTTAGTTTCGCAACTTCAAACGTCCGTGGGTTGGCCTCGTCGAGGAAGCAGTACCAACTGCAGCGTCTGGTAGAAGACGAGCAGCCGGACTTTCTTGCGGTGCAAGAAACTAAATTACAGACAGAAGAGAACATTGAGAGAGCGCTGAGGCCTTATCTCCAGCGATATGAAGTTGCCTCTAGTCATGCTGCGGGTCGGTCAGGGGGCTGTTTTCTTTTTTAAGGAAGTCCTTGAACTATGAAAACTTGCAAGTTGTTATCGATGAGTGCGGGCGGTTCATTTCTTGTGATTTTACGCTGTCAGATGTCCAGTGGCGCGTGATATGTATCTACGCTCCCAATAACGCGAAGGATAGAGAAGTCTTTTTTTCAGTTTCTACGTAATTATCTGGAGTGTGACAAAGTGGTCGTGTGCATGGGTGATTTTAAATGTGTCTTTGACGAGCGGGATAGTACTGGAGCGGACACGAGTGGTGACAGCAGTTCGAGACTTTTGAAAGAAATGGTAAATGTTTGTGGGCTCGAGGACGTCGGTGCTTTATGCACCATAAGAAGTAGCGTAAGGTATACGCATTTTCAAAATACGTCACACGCTCGTTTAGATCGTATTTATGTTACAGTTGACGTACTGCGCACTGTGCACGGCTACCGTGTCCAGCCCATTTTTTTTACTGACCACTGCCTCGTAAGCGTAAAAATTGGCAGGAAAAAAAGCAGAGCGTCTCGTTTTAACTGGCAGCTTTGGAAATTAAACCGAACACTTTTGAATGATAAACTTTTTGCAACCACTGTCGCTGAGCTGCTGCGGGGTGTGGTCGAAAAAGAGACTTGTATCAGGGAGGCCTGGGAAGGATTCAAAGAGGGAGTTAAGTTGGCCGCGGCAGAAAGGGCCAGCAACATCACTTTCCAAGCTCGAGCTCGCGAAAGGCAGTTGAAGCAAGACCTTAACGCATTGTGTCGAGTAGAGTGTGAGCGCCCTCGAACTTGTGGCGATGACATTCGGCACATGAAGATGGAAGTAGATCAAATATACAATGAAAAGTATAAAGGGGCAGTCGTGCGGGCACGCTCGGAGAAAGTTCTGTTGGGAGAACAGCCGACTAAGCGAGCTCTGGCTGAGGAAAAGAAGTATGCCCTGACTCGAGAAATAAGAGAAATAGAATATAAAGGGAAAATTAGCAGCGATAAAGATGTTATAGAAGAAGATTTTGTTGAGTACTTTGGGAAACTTTTTGGGGAAAAATGGACTCCCGTAGGATTTCGTAAATTTAAAGATTTTTTGTCACTCATGCCCAAGTTGGATGAGGAGGTTACAACGTGGCTCGAGGGAGAAATCACGCTGGAAGAGGTTGAACTAGCAATATATTCGCTAGCGAGACAGAAAATCCCGGGCCCTGATGGGCTTTGTGCAGAATTTTACCAAACCTTTAAAAATGCCCTTAGTCCCGTACTCTTGGCCGTATTTAATGAGTCATTCGAAAACTACTGTCTACCGCGTTCCTTTGTGGAAGCTCACACCATACTGATACCGAAGTCGGAGGACTTGTCGAAAAGGCTCAGCATGACGGGATATAGGCCGATTACATTATGCAACATAGACTACAAGATTTTCAGTAAGATCATTACGCGTAGGCTCCAGTGTGTCATTCGAGAACTCATCGGAGATCACCAGACGTGTGGCATTAAAGGAAGGTCCATTCAAACTAATATCCATATAGCGAGAAGCACTTTTGAGGCTGTTGGGAGGGATAAAGTGGCAATGATACAGTTAGACTTGGAGAAAGCGTTTGATAGAGTTAGGCATGATGTTCTAAAGAGTATTTTATTGCATGTTAATGTAGGCAAAGTTGTCCTAAAGGGCGTGGATATGGCGTACAAAGGTTGTACAACCAGGCTGGTGTTAAATAATAATGTTTCTAACAAAATTGCAGTGCTTTCGTCAGTCAGGCAGGGATGTCCCCCACCTTTACTATTTGCTCTGTAACTTGAACCTTTCTGTGTGAGCGTGATAGCTAGCAAGAATATCCGGGGGTTTCTTTTCAATAATGTTGAAGTTAAAGTGTCCGCCTACGCTGACGATGTGGCTATGTTTTGTTAAGATGAAGAAAGCGTCATGGAAACTGTCGTCCTCACGAAAGAATATTGCAACGCCACAGGAGCGGCAGTGAACTGGGGGAAATGTAGTGGGGTGTGGCACGGGAGGTGGGCTTTAAAACCGCATTACTTTGCAGGCTTTAATTGGGAAGCGACGCCATGTACGTATCTCGGGGTGCCCTTGGAACATTACAAAGTTAGCACGCCGTACTGGACGGAGCTCGCAAAAGATTTGAAGACGAAGGCTGACACTTGGGTCAATCGGAACTTGTCAATTTTGCGCGCGCCACAGTGTGTAATATTTTTTTGATCGCAAAGATCTGGTACATTATGCAAGTTTTGGCATGTACACCAATGAGTATCCAAAAGTTCCATAGGGTTTTCGCCACTCTCATCTGGAAGTCCGGGTGGGAAAGGATGAGAAGAGATAACCTTTTCCGGAGCGTCAAGTCGGGAGGCCTTGGCCTCTCGCATCTTTTCGTCCGTAAGATTGTTTCGCGCTTCTTTTTCCTACGCGACCAGAATCATCCTTTCCTACGTGCAATTATCCAGGTGAGACTGGTGAACTCTTTGCCGGCCGTGTCGGTGACTAGTGAATGTACTGAACCCCCTTGTTTTTATGGTTATTTAAAAGAAGTGAAAGAGGCTGTATTGTTTTTGCGAGCGCGTTTTTCGATGGGACTACCTGGGTAGTGTCACTAAAAAGGAGCTCAGTCGTGACCTGATTGAGCACCTTTTCCCTGCGCCACTGTATTGATCGGTGTACAGCCAATGTCCGGGTCAAGATGTGCTGCGGCGTGTGAAAAGGATGTGTGTTCCACCAGGGGTTAAGTCCTTTTTCTTTAAATTGCACAGCGAGATATTGCCAGTAAAGCCATGGCTAAGAGATAAGGGGATCTTTGTTCCTTGGTCGGTGGATTGTCTCCTGTGTAAGACATCAGAAACTATCGAACACGTTTTTATTTATTGTTCGGATACTGTGTTTTTTTAGGACATTCTTCAAACAACCCCGAAAAAAGATTTTATGTTGTCCCCGGAGACCATTAGGTATTTACCTGTTGAAGAAAATGACACTGTGCCCTACGACCTTTTTATGATATTCGGACTGTTTAGAATTTGGAAAACAAGGATGGAATTTCGGCATGCTGACCCAAAAATTAAGTCTGTACAGAAGCATTTCATCGATATTGTAAACGAGGTTCAAACTGTGTATTGCAGAACACCAGAAACTACGCCTGAGTGGGCACACTTGTTCAGTGAAATTAGGAACATGAGAGAACTTTAGTTCGCCCACAAGTCGCTGGGCGTGAGCTCCTTGTAATGACATAGCGTTTTGTGCTGAAATGTTGAGTTTAATAAAGAAAAAAAAAATATGAAGGCAGCTCAGTGAATGACGATGCCCAAAAATACGTTTGGACCAAAAAACGTTGTCTGAGTTGTGACATTAAGCAATGCAAAACGCCACGCTTGCATTGCTTAATGTCACAACTCAGACTGCGTTTTTTGGTCTAAACATACGTTTCTGCATCGTCATTCGCTGAGCTGCCTACGTAAGTTGCGGTGATTGGCTTTTCGAATGTTGTGCAAGAAAGCAGACGCACGGGTTTTTTTTTTTTTAGAGTGTTGTGGGAGAAGAGTTATTCTTGAAAATCTACACCCATCCGCATCTCTCGAATCGATACCCTCATTAGATTCATTTAAAACCGCTTTTATTTGCAAGTGTCTTGGGATTATGTGTAACGACGTTTTCTCCTTATTCTTATTCTTTTCATATGTTGTTGCTCTAGTAGCCGCGTTCCCTCTTTAACGCCCCGTGGACTTTAAAAGTGCTGTTATAAATATATAGATATATAAAAATAAAAATATACTTTAACCACGCCACAAAATCGCCCGTGGACGACCTTTGATCTGACAAACCTTTAGCAGGCCTGCCATTGGGACGTTGTTCAAAATGTCTCCAGGAGACGGGACGGTCTCCCCGTCGATGAGATAGGCTCTTCCACCGTGCATCCTCAGCAGTTTAGGCTTGGCTCTCTCCCATAACAAGGCCCCCGGAAGACTGAGGGGAAAACCTTCTTTTGCGAAGCGAACGGCAGGCTCCAGGATCTCTGACATGGAGAGCTGAAAGGTGGTTTTCAATTCACATCGAACTTCAAACTATTGTGACGCTTTAGAGCTGGTTATTTAAGGTCACGTTTCTACAGCAGGTACTTCCGTTTTGTTTTCTTTTTTCGGGCAGGGGACAAAAGAGGGGCCAGTAAAAGAGGCTAAGAAGCCTGACGAGGCACCGATTCCTTGTAATTCACAGAGGTACATAAACTTAATGGACAAAAAATACATTCATATGAAACTTACAAACTCACAATGATCGGCATCTTCCTGATGATATCATATAAATATCACCTCAAAGTACTGAAGAAGTCAGAATAAAACAGAAAGTTTTGAATATATAAGCAAAAGCAGATAACGCAAAACCCTTAAAGGGACCATGAAATGATTTTAAAATCGAGTTTCATCCACCGCACGTCGTAAAAGGTGTGAAAAGAAACACAAAAACACAAAAATAGGGAGCCCAAAAAAATTATTTGCTATAGAACTTTTAAAAGAAAACTGGACTCTTTTGCGCCTTCCTTCCTTCGCCTGTTCACTACGATGCATACGCAGAATCGGTGCACGTCAGCCGAATCCACATCGCCTATTGGGTAACAGCCAACCTCACCAGCACCGCGATCGTAAACAATAAATAGCCGGCGAATGTTTCCTAAAAGTTTTGTTAAATAATATTCAGATCCACATTTTGTAGCATAATTAGAGATGTGTGGCGAAAATTGCCAAATTTGATAATGCTGAGAGCCAAGCGCCATCTATCGTGTGGTAAACGAAGCAACTACTGCGCGTGCGCAGTAGGGCAGGGCCGCCAGTTATTTGGGTGACTGCGACCGACGAACATTTATTTTCTTTGTTTTCCTTCCTCTCAAAGCTCTGACTGACTGAACGTTTATTTTTCTACGTGTTCTTCCCGCGCGTGCCGACTTCAAGCAGCAAGAAAACAGTACTTAAAACAGACCACGACGAACAAGAACGCTGGATTCACCGACTCCGACGAAGCGTATAGGCCTAGCAGGCATTCCGACTCGGCGCTGCGTTGCTTCGTCGCAAGACCGTCTGCCTACGACCGGCTGGCGTGCTAAATGGAATATGCCCGCGCGACCCTTGTGGACCCTTCCCGTATTATAGTTTGATCACTGACCTCAATTCTAGATTAAGAGGTGAGGAGGTTAATCTCTTCCCCTTGTTTTCCGAGGCAGTGTTGACGAACACTCGTCGAAAAGGGACTCTCGTCGATTCTATCTTCTTGTTTTGTGTGATATAGAGCTGAAATAAACGCCGTATGGATTGCCTTCGTAACACGGTATGTACACTTTGTTATTGGTATGCCATTTTTATTCTGACAGACTGCACGTGTCGACCCCGGTCCAACCTTTCTTTGCCGAGTGTCGCGTGTGTCGCGAAGCGCTTACCAACAGCGCGAATACAAGACTTCCATCAAGCGCGCGCGTCCGCTCCGAGTGTAAACAGGTATTTACGTGGCTCTTGCTGACACTCGTAGTTCAAACGTATCTTTTTTAACGTCGGCTCGCTCCTGCATCTCCGAGGCCGCGAAAAACGCCATCTACGTCGCTTTGCAAACGACTGACACGGGCCGGCCCTTCTGCCAACAATGACGGGGTGGTGACAAGACTCGCTGCACTTCCCAACAGGCATACCGGCGTATGGGACTAGTCCCATGCTGTCGCTGTAGCGCAACATATCTCATTGAATTTCGCTCAGCTGCGATGCGGCGATGAGAGGCGCCGATTCAGGAAATACGTCGGTGACATCAGCGCAGTAAAACCTACCGGCGCACCCCAACTCGTTGCCGCTAACACTCCCATTCTCCTACTGCCGAGAGAACTTCCGGTTCCGGAAACGGTCTACGTCACGGCTTCTTTTGCGGTCAGTTGGAGAGAATGAAAAAGTCGATATTTCAATAATTTTTTGTGTAAAAGTTAATAAACCGAGACGAAAACGGATGCCTGTTCGGCATTCAGTGAACATTGACGGTTTAATGTAAAAGTTATCTGGAAAAAGTAAAAAGGTCATTTCATGGTCCCTTTAACAGCATGAAGAGCAAAAATATTCATACACGCATGTTATGTTTTATTTACAATACAATGTGGCGTACATTTTATTGAAATTTGTTATGCCTGTCTATTAGTTCTCTCCACTATTTTTGAATAAAGTTAAATATTCTATTTAGTTTATATCAAGTGAACTATTATTAGGTTAAATGTTTCATATTGTGAACTTTGCATTCCGTAATAAGTCCGGGGAATCCTTCGTGCACCATGACGCAACGTATACAACGAGGCTCCTGTTTAGCCGGCAGTAACATACAACTTTTGTTCTAAGCATTGATATGTGAGGTTTTTATTAGACTGGCTATAAATGTGACATTAATAACTTCCTAACCAAATATTTGACTAAGCCTCTGGGAGTTTTTTTTTTTTTTTTTTTTTTTGTGCAAAGCCTGTCATTTATTAGATAACTTTCGCGACAAATTGTAGCTTTTAATTAACGCCTCCTTTTCATCACTCAGACTGCCCAACAAAAATTGTTTTATTACAAAGCACAAAGGAACTAGAATAAGGTAGAAGTTTCTTATTATCTGGCAGCGAAAACGATTTAGAAATTTATTAGGAATTTATGTTTGGTGTTCCTGTACTTTCGCATATGCTACACTCTGTTACACCATCTCAGTTATCCTGGCTGTACGGTCTCCCTGCATTTAGCACTTGTGGCCTAGATAGTAAAGTGAACAAGTTACGACTATATCTGCGGCTCTTTTTTTTTGATTGCGTTATGAGATTCGAAAATGTTTTCTAAGCTAGAAATGCAGGCCTCGTAAGCATGTGGCAAAAGGTGATTGTGGGTATCAAGGCAGCTTTACAAAAAGGGTCGACTAGAATTCGTTTCGTTAACAAAAAAAAAAAACATAATCGTTGCATCACTATTATGAATCTGTTGACTCACTTCTAAATTTATGGGGAACACAGCACGAACTAAACGGGTGACAGATTTCTTCTTTTTTTTCTTTTAATATGTGGTGAGCAAATTGGCTTCATCGCTTAAATGCCCAATATTAATAAACACAAAACTGCAAAGGCAAAAACCCTTTGAAAGTCATATTCCACTGAAAGCCTGAGTGTAAACATTTTAAATGCTAACAGCAATATAGTCCTCTGTGGTATTCTCACTATCACTCGTTCAGGAGCCACAGGATATGCCATCGCCTGGCGAACACTTCCTCCACATTAGAACACCATGGCTGGATACTACTGAGTTAGATACATTCCCATTTAATTATAATAAACTTATGGCACTATTGAAATGTTTACCTACAAAGAAAAATTGGCGCCTCAAAGAGCGGGACAGAGAACAAGACGGCACGGAGAGCTAATTACAACTGCATGTCGCCCTCTTGTTCTCTGTCCCTTCTTTGAGGCGATTATTTTTTCTTTCGTGCACCACCTAGCCGGATTATTCATTTTGCTGTAATGTTTAGCTAGCCTCACCTTTCCACTTCCGAAGTGCTCCACGGTCTCAAACCAGGCCTTTACCGCTCCCGGTACCGTGGCTAGGAGACCCCGGGAATCAGCTTTGATGAATCCATCGGTTTCCGCAGCCATCAGGTGCTCTTTAGTCAAAGCAGCGGGGCTCCTTCCGCTACGAGGTTGATTGAGCAATGATTTCAGCATCGTGAGTCTCGAAACCTTCGCGCTTTTGAAGCATTTTGAATCATTTCATTTGGAGTATCTCTGAGAAATATCTGTTTCTGTCTATGTGAAGGTACCCGACTATCGTTTAGATATTGCTTTTCCTATAGCTCACATATTTAATCGCTTTGGTTTGTTTCAACACCAAAATATTTGTAGTGTGGTTTTTCGAGGGGGCTAAAAATAAAGCAGCACGACTAGAGGCATATTAATCAAAGCCACCCACTTTGAATACTTGCAGACGAACTGTCGGTAAGGTTATTCGAGCGTTCACATGTTTGTTCAATTATTTATGCATTTACGACGTAGAATTTCCAGGTTTTTGTTTTCGTGCAAAGGACATATTTTAATAATTCAGCTATTCTTATTTTATAGCACTTCAAAATTTCGATGCCATTTAGTGTTTCTAGACGATTTTCTGGCAAGCATTTCTTTGCAGAAATATTTTGGACAGCATTCTTTCGTAATTTATAACGATTCAAGATAGTGTTCCTCTTCTGTCGATCGAGGCGTCGTCCCCCATTTCCATGCAGTACCTACCTTTTAAAGGCTTGTGATGAAGCACCCATTCGTGTTATCGTACCTACAGACTAATCATCCACGGCCAGAATGTCTCATTTGTTGCTCGTAAGAACAGAGCGAAAATGATTAGACGGTACATTTTTATATTTTTAGAAATTAAGAAAATTGGTTTGTCTCGTATGAAGATCAGAGATCGAGATTTTTGGTTGAATTCATTTAAAACTCGCTCTCATGAGAAAAGTTAAAGCTCACTTACCCTGTCCCTCCCGGGCACACTCACATTCAAGTCCTCACTCACCAAACTCAAATACGCGTGAACTTACCGAGCTCATAAACTCGCCGAACTCAGGAACTCACGCCCATCACCAAACTAATGAACTCACCGAACTCACAGCCCTCACCGAACTCATCAGCTCACCAAACTCATGAACTCACGCCCCTCAACGAACCCACCAAACTCACAAACTCACACTCCTCATTGAACTCATGGACTCACTCTCGCACCGACCTAACTCACTCGAAAGTAGTTCTCGCGCTCACCGTATTCGAAGCGCTGGCGCTCGTGCTGCGCGCGGATTACGCGGCTTCTACAACTTCTCCACGGTCGCTGCCGCCTACCGCTGCTTCGCGCCAGCCGTCACGTCGCCAAGTGAATAAATGTTTTCTAGTTTTGTTCGTCTCGCTTCGATTCCTTCCGCTCGCGCGGCAGCCGAGCGCTTGAGGAAGGCGCGCTTTGCTGGCATACAGAGGTGCATCATCCCGGGTTTCGGGAAGAAGTATTCTTTACGGTGTGCAATGTTTGTTTCAAGCATTTGCGACAACTTCGGGCAAGTACTGAGTGAGCGCCTGCATCGCCGTTTACTCAAATGAGTAGCATTGTTATTCCAACGCGCACCACCGCGGAATTGTACTTTATTTCTGCGTAGCATATTGCGAAATTCTCATTAATGGCAGGACGGTTTGCAAGGCAATTCATTGTCGAGTAGAACTATTTCAGGACGGTATGTTTGTATATTTATCATCGTTCACCCAAATTATTTTACCTAAAATAACTGCCTGGTGGATATAGTTTTTCTTGTAGAATGAACCATTGAAGAACTTTGTGCGCGCCATATTATTGTATAATATTTTTTTTATCGTGTCTCTCGTTTTCTGTTGTGCGCAGATACCAATTCAAACTGGAATGTTGTAATTTACCGACTCGGTGCCTCGTAAAACGTTATATTTTTTAGATCTTGACATAAAATCGTCAAATGCCTACCGTATTTGTGTTGTTTAGACAATGTTTGCTTGTATTAAAACGTCAATAGGTTGAGTACGAATTTTGACAAAATACATGCGCACAGTCGCGTTTTCTGTTAAAATCATTTAATATTTCTAATGGTTGGAAATTTTTAATTGCTATTCACTAATTTGAACGAATAAACGTCCCACTGGTGTAAGTGTAAGTTATTCTACCTTGTATATTTAGATTACTTAACTTGTAACTACCGATTGCCTAATGCGGATTGCCAGGCTATGTTTGTTGAGGGAGAAAGGCGCGCTCATGCAACCTAATTAAAGGCTCTACATTTCTTCGAGGTGTGTTTTGCGAAGTACAAAAACATTGGGGCGCTTAATCTTTTCCGGCGGGTAAGTTTGCTTCCGTACACGCATGCACATGCACAGATATCAAATATTTAGTTTTATTACTTAGGATTGTTTCATACACCTTCCCCCCGTCTTAGTTACTCGTATAAATATAAACCGTGTTATTAAAAAGACAAATAGCGCTCCTCCTAGTAAACGACTGAGATATGCACCTGGGTCAGTGCCGGTTGAGAAATAATAATATATAAAAATCATAACTAATTATGAACACTATAGGAGCAATTAAGAAAACACTTTCTCCGACCCGCGAAACGATTTAAGGTGCAGGCAGTATTCCGACTACGCTCAACGGTCCCCTCTTAAGTGAATAATGGGGTGTCAAATAGCAGGTTAGAAACGTCGATTTCTTATCGCGAATATTGAGTGAAACTAAAAAGATCGCTTCATATCGCTTTTAATATAATCTAGAAACTGATCGTCTTCAATTGTCTACGGCAATCCACAATCAAATTAGTGTTTACACGCTACCGAGTAAATATAGCAGCCTTTAAACCGAATTGCGAACAAGTCCGGCGCTTCGAACGTACTCGAGCACAAAGACGTGTATGCGTGCTTTTTTATACCGAGTTCTAGTCTACAACTAGGACAGAGAAGCATATCATGATGATATAGAGGGCAAAACGACAATCTTGTTGTTTTGCGCTATATATTCTCATATCGTAAAACCAACTAGCCCGTCAGATTGTCTCAAAACAAGCATAGAGGCGAATCTCGACAGTTCCCAGCAGGCCTTTCTTTTAATATTGGATTCACTATTAGCAAACGCGCATAAGACCAGCGCACTCCAGATAGCAACATCTGCCTTCGGGAGTACTGACGTAGCGCCCGTGTGCCTCCTTCACGAAACAACAAAATCCCGCTCGAGTACCGGTACCTCGCAGCCTACAGGAAAGCGGCCGACGCGAGCGGGAGAGTCTGCCCTGTCTCTCGTCACCCTGCCACGAAGCAGCGACCAGCGGCAAAAGACCACGCCAAGCCGCCGAGAAACAAGCTAGAGCCCGAGAGCGGAGATTAATTATTAGGCACCACTCCTCTCTCCTTATAACTCGCAGACAAACAGCCGTTCGAGCTAACAGCGCCATTGCGAAGCGAGCGTCAAATAAACTTCCTCGGAAATGCACGGAGAAGTCACACGACCCGCCCTTCCTCAACGTCACCCCGCAAACTTTCATCAAACCCGCGGCCCCTGAGGAACCTTATGCCTCGGCAAACTTATGAACTCACCGACCTTATAAACTCACCTAACTCATGCACTCACCGACCTCCATAACTCACGTCATTCACAGAACTCATGCACGCACCGGCCTCCAGAACTATTTTCACCGAACTAATGAACTCACAGACCTCACGAATTCACGCTTGCACCGAACTCATAAACTCATCGAACTTATGAACTCACTTAACTATGAGCTCAATAAACTCATGCATTCACCGAACTCACGCCCCTTACTGAAATCACGCCCCTCACCGAACTCCCCACGTCCCTCACTCAACATCAAACTCACGAGTTTTCGAGGCTTACGAACTCACTCGCCCTCACCTCACACCTGATCGGTGAGGGTGAGTGAGGTGAGTGAGCGCAATCGGGATAAGAAAATACTCCCAGTCAGACGCTGACGCAGCACTCATATCCAATCTCCGGCCCGTGCTGGCCTCCATTAGGTGACGTATAGGTCGAGCCCCGCGGCCTTGTTACCTAGGGGGCATCGGTGGGGCCTACCTTCCGTCAAGGCAGCGTATCGTGCCGGTGGAAGCGTCGTAGAAGATTCCGAAGCAGTCTCCGCCGACGCCAGAGGCAATGGGCGACACCACTTGAAGGACAGCGGCCATAGCCACGGCTGCATCGCCAGCGCTGCCTCCCCTTCTCATCGTCTCTGGAAAACGGACGGTGCCATACTAGACATAGGCTGGTAGAGAGCCTACGTTTCAGATAGTTTCCAACTGCTCGACCGGATCACGTGACCTGTGGGCCGCGTTTGCAATACGAGCTGCGAGGAGATGCGGACAGCGCCGATCGTCTGCCAGCGTCTCAGCCTTTGCGCCCGCTTTTGTCCTCGTGATTCGACAACGCAGGGAATGCGCACTTGCGACCAAATGGAGCAATAGGCGACCGCCATGAAGTTGCGAACGCTCCCTTTGGTTGAAGTTGCTCCCTGTCTTCGGTCTAGGATCTCTACTGGCCGGACGAGGTATGAAGCACAGTCTTATTTGTGTTATTGCGCTTTCGCGTCGGTGGGATAGCTGTAAGGGGGAGAACTCGCGTGCGAAAGGGGCAGCCGTTTTCGTAACTAAATGTTTGCTTCTGCTCTCGACGAGAGAAGGGAAAGAGCGTGCTCGTGCTGCGCCTTCTCGATAACGAGGTCGCAGCACTGGATAACTAAGTCATCCACCAGAATTGGACGCGAGTGACGTGCCAGCGCCCGGCTGGGTCTCGAGTTCTCCCTGGTTAAACCACTCTTTGCGGAACAGTGAGCAGCGCTCGTGTGCCATCTCCGCTGGATTCTAGTAGGAGAAGCGAATATTCAACACTACGATTTTTCTCCCCAGGAGGTGTTGACTCACATAAAAACATACCTCCTCTTCGTTTTAGAAGTGAAAGTTTTTTCCCGCCATTTCAGATTTCTCACGGAATGTTCCTCTCGCTGGGAAGGTACTGGGGTCTAAATAAGCCCGCAGGTCCTGGTCCATTCAAAAAGAGGTTCGGGCAGTTTCACTGATCTCAAATAAGGGGATGGATGATGCAATGAGCAAACATGTATGAATACGCCTGAAGTAAGTGGCTTATCACTGAAGTGAGCGCTTTACAGGGCTTTGGAACTCTTCCGAGTGCTGGTTCGAAAAGCGAAAAGGGCGCTGCATTTTTGCTTGTCATCTCAAGAGAGCAAGCTTTCTGCGTAGTAAGAGCGCATACAGACCCAAAACGTATCGTGGGAAGATATTTGATACTAACATTTTTAAACACTAGTTGATCGAGTGTATATATGTTTCACTTTCAAATGCGTTATTTGGGCGTTTTAATTCAAAACGTGGTTAATAAGGCCCACTCAAAGACACGAGAAGGCATGGACCAAAACATCGACTGAATACCCTAGGAGGTCCAGCAGACGCCCGACTTCCGGTACAAGCATTGAACTTGCGGAGGCTTCACTTGCGCCCGGCTCGGAGAGAAGCTATGCGCCGGCGCCAACCAGCCTTCTATAGTAAAGATCAGTTGGTCAACCTCGTGCGAATGGAGTAGTCTTTACAGGCTATACTGTCCAGCCCCCCCCCCCCCCTTTCTTTCTACCGAATACTCCTAAAAGCAACGTTCCAGGAGCGATATATTCTAAGCAGAGGGCGTTAATTCCCGTTATGAGAAATTATTGTGTTGTTTCTTAAAAATTGATTATTTGAAGCGTTGATACGTACCGATGCCGGCCATTGTTGCCAAACCGTCGTCACTCACAGCCGCCGCTCTTCTTCCCAACACGGGAAAGCAGCTGAATCCTGCCGCGGTTCGGTGAGAGGCACCAAGGAAATTCGGCCACCATTTCTGCTTTGCCTGCAAATACGAACGGAGGACGCGACGGGCTGCAGCCTGCAGCATTTCGAGAAGCGCGAAATTTTCGCGGAGCCTTCTGCGATCCAACGGGCGCACTGCGGCGTCTCTGACATCACTTCCGCTCGTGGGTTTTACCCGTACATCGTCGGCTTTGTGCCAGTGCGTTACTCAGCCCAGGTGTAAACCTGGATTCTTTGTGAAGCGATCAACCACAGGGAAAACACTGGACTCGTTCGTGTTACAGCTGCTATTTCTGATTTTTTTTTATTACTTCTCTCTGCCTGCGAGATTTATTCTCTGTAATTTATGTACGTCGGATGGCACCGATATCAAAACCGCATCTGTGACCTGGTTGGTGTTGTCTTTTTTTAAAGTTTCTCACCTTAATTTGGTTGAGTACCATAATACAATGTATGAAATATGCTCATACCAAAAATGCTACAATATTCAACTGATGAGACAAAGTTATAAGCTGTCTAGGGTGCCTCAATACCTCCCTTGCCATAGTGCGTATGTGTGTGTGTGTGGGGGGGGGGGCGCATTTTTAGCTATAGCAAGTTCCACCTCTGTATGAAAAAAAAAAAGATAAATAAAACTTTCGTCCATATAACGGCACCACAAATTAGTAAATGTTGTAAACGTTTTACACACTAGAACGTAGTAGGCCACATACGGCATGATTTCTTCTTCCTCCGTCAAGGCCGAATCAGGTGTAGCACAGAAAAGCATGCTGGAACGGCCTCTGCTGCTGCGTACAAGGAGACCCATTTCGCATTTTTTTCAGTTCGAATATAAACCTCGTTGAAAATTGTGTCATTTACCTTAAATTTTTTTAAATCTCAGAGAGCGCAATCTTACAATCAACCTAACGAAGACAGAGAACACGCAGTCTACAACAAAACGAAAAGTTTTATATTATAGTAAAAGCTGTATAGCAGCGGTATACAGAAAGTAGTATTGAGAACGAAAATACCTTGGCGTGTTTCTGACAGCTAACCATACATGGAAAACTCACATGACAAGCACAGTTACAAAAATAAAGAGTTTGTTTTCTTATATTAAGCAACATTGATATTGTTAATGTGGACAACATAATTTCATTATTACGGGACACAAAGGTAGAGGAGTTCAACTAGCTCAACAAAATACCGTAACGTCATTTGAAGTTCGGTTCTTAAGACGCAAAGATTTTCACCCAAAGATCCTTTCACAAGTCGCCTTCTAGATCACTAGGTTTCGGCATTTGAAAAAAAGGTCACGGGAGTGACGTAAAAGGATAAAGGAACCTATCCTAGCAACACATGCACCGTTGCTCTGCCCGTTTTGACGCCTCTACGTCATCGCGAAATTAACGCCTGTCCCCCGTCTGAGGGACGCGCACAGCCATCTTCCGGCGAGACGAAGTAGATAGGCAGTCCTCCCCGAGGCATACCTACACGCATAAACCGGGGTTGGCTTTACTAGAAAGCGGGGAGCAGTTTCTCCGTTTAGTAGAGCGACAGTCACCAACCCTGTGTGTCGCTGACCGTCACATATGTTCCAATGCGTGTAAAGGTCTTGGAAAGTAACATAAACCCAATGTGTTTTGACAAAACGAACCGCTTTTTGGGTCCATTTTCGGGACGTTTAGAATTTAATGAAAGAAAACGCTGTTTGAATATTATGCGGGATGCACGATTTCATCAGAATCCTATAAGAGTTACTAATTCATGACCAACTGTCTTAAAACCCGTTCTGGGGTTTCATCACCAGAAATTTGTGCCGTCGTATGCTTGCACCATCTCTTGGCGGGTTACGACAGCGCTCCCATAGAGGCCCATGTATTTAATATACCAATGTGGTTACAACGCCGGAACGCTACGCTTTGAGCAATTTGATATGCTACTACTCTGCTCTGTCATATACCACTTCTCTTGTGCCAAACTTTCAAGAAGACGACGTGTAAACTGCAGGTTCTTCAGTCGAATAAACTTTGTGATATATTGCCACTACGCATACTATTTAAGTTAATCGAACTCTACAGTTTATTCTTGAGTATAACAAAAGTGTTATGACAGTACGAATTAACTAGGATTCCTCCCCAATATTACGGCAGAATATATAGTGTCCAAGATGTGCACTACATCTGAGGAAAAATATATTTCCCCAAGGGCACCTCACACTAATTTTTGAGAAACAACAAAAATCAAACAAGCAAAATTAAAAAAAAAGATACAAAAGCTACAAGATTAGCCATTCGACTACAGTAAACCACGAAAAGCGATAATGTGCCGGGTACATTTTGTTTTTTCTCAAAATTAGTTTCTTGGCTGCCTGAGACCAATTTACCAAATAAGGCGGATTCATTCTCGTTTAGATGTTTACTATGATTTCCAGTATTCTGCTACTGACATAAGCTAGAAAACAAAACAACAGCTTGTATTGACATAATATAAAAATATTTAAAACATTCAAAATACATTTTACTTGTGAATATTGCTACGTGATTACAACAGTGACCTTTTTTGTAAGGAATGGAAGCACACCGGTGATTGTGCGATTTATGAGAGGATAATCGTTCTTGTGAGCTTAACATTCGATGGCAAACGTAATCTTTCGGCACGCACTAAATATTCACAGTAGATTAATTATCCCAATCGCCCTGATTACAAACAACAAAAAATAAAGGAAAAAAAACGTACTGAAATATCCGACTTGTTATCACATTCTTCGAAGAGACCAAGATTTTGCAATAGCAGAGGCTTGTGTTCGGCGGCCTTAAAGTCTGTGTTTCTTCGCCAAAGGAAACTTCGGCCGATCTCAAAATGTTCCCGAGGCGCGGCTGCCCGAATTAGAAACCATGAACGAATTCCTATAATCGATCCAACAATGTCTATTTCGAGTCACGTTTACACAAATATGGCTTATTTGAGAGGATTTTCCATGGTAGCCGCTTAATCTCAAGGGCCCTACATTTTGCATTTCAACACCAGTTAATTTCTTGGCTGACCTCAAAAAGCTCCTGGATTAGGCGCGGGTGCAAAACAAAACTCAAAAGATGAACGAATGCGTATAAAAATCCGAACCATCCCCACTTTGAGATCGATTTTCTCGAGAAGGATTCGTTTTTGAGTACTTCTTGTTGTACCAGGATGGGCTAGAGGGCTTTAAATTTTATGTTCTGTCTTTATAAAGAAACTCGGTAGTCAACTTTCCGAGGGGGAAGGGGCCCGGTCAAGATGGTGACGACCGATGATGGTGTTCGCCCGATGGTAGCCCCCCGGGAAGTCGAATAAGAAAAAAAAAACACTAAGAGTTGTTCGATCCCGCTGGACACATTACGACGTTGGTAGGTTTACGGTGGCCAGTGTGGCCACGTTTATTTTGAAAACAAAACGACAAGTCGACGGTAATATACAAAACTTCCAAAATTAAAACCCCGTACTTTAGTCCCCAGTCTCAAGAGCCGAATCCCCCGAGAACCCTCTCGGCAGCCCTTTTCTAGCCTCGTAGATGCCTCCTTTCTCTCCAGAGATGGACCAATCACTTCAAATTTCACCACTCCCACGTGGTACACTGTCGTCCAATGGTCGGCGAGCTGTCATCCTGTCGCTGTAACGGCCAAACCTAAATTCCTTGTAGGGTTGTTCTCTGCAATTTTTCCAGTCTGACTGGCGCCAACCACTAAGTTATTGCATCGGGCAAAAAGCGACAATTTTACACTAAGCGGCGAAACCCTCTATATACAGGCACATTCGGCTAAAAGCCACAACCAGCTGCAAGAAGGGATCTGTCCGAGCAGACTACCGAAACCCGAGACGTTTCTTAACAACCGCGGGGAAGCCGCTCCCCACTCCCGGCCGCTCTGCCCCCGCAAATGCTCCCTCCAAAACGCCGACACTCACAAAGAAAGCTAAAAAAAAATAAAACGATGCCGACGCAACTGTAGAAAGATAGACTTTTCTAAAACAAATCTTACTTATTTCTAACAAAATCCTTCGTTACTTAACACCTCCCCACCAAGAATGTTGCAAGTACACTTGCTGTTCGCGCAACATCTGTCCCCCTTTTCGAGACAGACGCGTAGCATACGAAAACAAAACAACAACAGAGGAGCTATACCCCCTGACAAAAAAAATAATCTGTTGGGCGACAGGGAAAACCAACAACACAAAAAAAAAACACAAGCAAACACAGTCCGGTGAGACCCAAACCCGTACGTTCCAGGTTGCACCATGACCAGTTTTTATACAAAAGCAGAAAAAAAAAAATTAACGTTGGCTACAGGCAAGGAAATGCAAACGCGAACAGAAAAAAAAAAAAAAAAAAGGTTTGCTATACTTAGCCATACCCGAAACTGTTTCTCCGTGCCTGCGCGTCCCCGTCGTCTCAAATGTCTCGCGTGACCGAGGCAAAGGTCTTACCCCCGCACTCAGACACGCGGAGGCCGGTTTGTTCCCGGAGTCCACGGCTGTATGCACTAGTCCAGGGCAGTTCTGCTTCAGGTGCCCCAGCCTCCCACACGAAAAGCACCCTTGCGGTCGAGGTTTCTCAACCCTTCGCTGGTCGCCCCCAACTTTCGCAGGCCCACCCCGCATGTTCACCTGTGGCCCCTCGGCCGCCCTCTGGGGCTCCCAGTTTCGATTGTTCTTTTGTGAGAAGTGCCCTCCACATGGCATGTCGTGCGCCAATTGTAACACCTCTTCCCTAAGGGGCTTCGGGAGCACCAGCTGTTTGCATTCTTTCCCGTCGATTTGTTCTGTGTGATACAACAAATTACCTTCAATCAACATGCCATGCGTGCCGCTTCGGGCCTGTTCCCACGAGCCCTGCAACGAGCCGTCGTCTCTCTGTTCGCTTACGAACCCCGTTTCGGTCGCGCTCCGTTCCGTAACTGTCTCGACCAAGTCTACATCACACGTGCTCCCGGCCGAATCAATGCCCTCTACCACTTCCTCGAACTCCAAAGGGGGATCGCCGGAGACGTGGTCCTGTTCCGCTCTGATTTCTGCCTCCAGCCTTTGCACCTGTTCTGCCTGCTCAGCAGACTCAGCGTTTGCTCGCGTAAGTACCTCAAATGCGTCCGGCGTCAGCAGCGCCTCCACCCCCTGCGCGAGTCTTTCCGTTACCGCACACAGCACGGCGACATGTTGGCCAGTCCCGCCGTCTGCGGTGCACAGCCCCAACGGCACATACCTCAGATCTGCCGTCACCGTCTGGCCGAATGCACCTCTGAGCATGATTTCTCCCCCTCCCCGCCTGCGTGACTCCTCGGGCACCACCTCCCGCCTCACGACAGTTATGTCAGCGCCCGAGTCCAAACAGGCAGAGAAGGGTGTGCCCCCTGCCGTAAGCTGTACCCAGCTTATACCTGAACCTGTTTCCCCATGCCTGCGCGTCCCCGCCGTCTCAAGGGTCTCGCGTGACTGCGGCAAAAGCGCTGCCCTTGCACTCAGACCCGCGGAGGCCGATTTATTCCCGGAGTCCACGGCTCTATGCGCTAATCCAAGACAGTTCTGCCTAAAATGCCCCAGCTTCCCACACGCGAAGCACCCTGGTGGTCGGGGTTTCTCAATCCTACGCTGGTCGCCCCCAACTTTCGCAGGCCCACCCCGCAAGTTCACCTGTGGCCTCTCAGTCGGTCTCTGAGGCCTCCAGTTTCGATTGTGTCTACTCTCCTCAAATTTCTCCGCAAGTCCCGCCACTTCCTTTGGCCTTAGCCATTCTTTGGTTTCGTTCTGAAGGACGTAGGCGCGTACATCATCCGGCATGGCATGCTTTAGGCGATCTGAGATGGTCAGCTGCCGTAAATCATCTAGTGTCTCCACTTTGCGGCTCTCCATGTAGTATCCATACATAGTATTAAGATTTGTAGAGAACTGTGCCCACGACTCGTTCTCTTGTTTGCGCGCGACATTAAACCTCCGCTTGTACTCATCCGGAGTCATCCTGAGCTCGTCGAGGATAATGTCTCGTAGCTCCTTGTACTTCAATACCCGTCCCTCTGCTCTGTTTGCCACCACGGCGCTAGCTTTCTCGTTTAGAAAAGGTAGGATGATTGCCCCGTGTAGGTCCTGTGGAATCTCACAACTCGCCAACATTGTTTCCGCGCCCTTAAACCATGCAGGTACCAATGTGTCCGTCTCGGGCATTGGCGCCAGCACCGCACGTAGCTCCTTTGCATACCGTCCGACTCCCCCCTTACCCCGAGTGTTCTCTTCATGAGGCTGCCCCGTCATTTTGAGCTGCTCTAGTTTTATTTTCTCGAGTTCTATCTTTAGTCTCATGAGTGTTATCTCAGCACTAAGGTCATTCGAATCTGTTGGCTGCCCTCCCTCACTGGCGCCAGCGTCTGGTTCCGAGTTGGCGCCACTGAGGGAAGACCCTGGGGTCTTCGATCTGGTCTCTCTGGTCATGGTGAGCCTCGGAGAAAACGGGAATGGGACTCACCCACTGTTGCTTGGCAAAATCCAATTTGCTGCTCCTCCAGTCGCCGCCACCCACTTGCCATAGTGTCCCAACTCGGCCTGGCGATCGTGCCCGTCGTCTGGAAGTCTCAGCCAACTCTTCGTTCACCGAAAAGACGAAGAAAGAAAATCACACAGAAAAAAAAAAAACGCACAATTTTCCGGCACCACAACGAAGTTCAGCACTACAGCGACGATCTCGTCTCTCCTCTTGAGGCTTGCCCCGATCTTCTGTCGCCGCTCGCTGAAGATGCTTCGCCGGTCCGCAGGTGAAGCCACAGGTCGTCCTGTTCTCCGACGTAGATGACGCCCAGGACCACCTGTCAGCTGCCACCACTCCTTTTGGGTAATTGTACACCCCCGGGCTTCTCGCGTAGATATTGCCACGGTCCTCACTCCGGCAGGAGCGAGCCTTGTCCGCAGTCCAGCAGACGACTTCTTTGGGTAACTGTACCCCCCCGGGCTTGTCACGTAGATATGGCCACGGTCCTCACTCCGGCAGGAGCGACCCTTGTCCACAATCGAGCAGACGGGACCCTTGTCCGCAGTCCAGCAGACGCGACCCTTGCCCGCAATCCAGCAGACTAAACACTTGTCGCATAGAGCCCAGGTACGCTCCACCGCCTCCGTTGATGCCGTCGTTTTCGCTCACCGCCCGTCGCAGGAAGTCAGCAGGATCCTGTCGACTGCGCCAGTCAACTTTCCGTGGGGGAAGGGGCCCGGTCAAGATGGTGACGACCGATGATGGTGTTCGCCCGATGGTAGCCCCCCGGGAAGTCGAATAAGAAAAAAAAACACTAAAAGTTGTTCGATCCCGCTGGACACATTGCGACGTTGGTAGGTTTACGGTGGCCAGTGTGGCCACGTTTATTTTGAAAACAAAACGACAAGTCAACGGTAATATACAAAACTTCCAAAATTAAAACCCCGTACTTTAGTCCCCAGTCTCAAGAGCCGAATCCCCCGAGAACCCTCTCGGCAGCCCTTTTCTAGCCTCGTAGATGCCTCCTTTCTCTCCAGAGATGGACCAATCACTTCAAATTTCACCACTCCCACGTGGTACACTGTCGTCCAATGGTCGGCGAGCTGTCATCCTGTCGCTGTAACGGCCAAACCTAAATTCCTTGTAGGGTTGTTCTCTGCAATTTTTCCAGTCTGACTGGCGCCAACCACTAAGTTATTGCATCGGGCAAAAAGCGACAATTTTACACTAAGCGGCGAAACCCTCTATATACAGGCACATTCGGCTAAAAGCCACAACCAGCTGCAAGAAGGGATCTGTCCGAGCAGACTACCGAAACCCGAGACGTTTTTTAACGACCGCGGGGAAGCCGCTCCCCACTCCCGGCCGCTCTGCCCCCGCAAATGCTCCCTCCAAAACGCCGACACTCACAAAGAAAGCTAAAAAAAAAAATAAAACGATGCCGACGCAACTGTAGAAAGATAGACTTTTCTAAAACAAATCTTACTTATTTCTAACAAAATCCTTCGTTACTTAACACCTCCCGGTTCTCCTCAAAAATTTTCCTGGTGAGGCGCGAGTACACAAATTTCAAAAGATGACCGAATTCCTAAAAACAGCCGAGCCATCCCCACTTTGGGACCAGTTTCTCATAAAGAATTCACTTTGGAGTACTTGCCATAGTAACAGGATGGGCTCGAGATTTCTAAATATGTATGTATGTATGTATGTATTTCTGGCGGCAATTGCCCTTTTTAACGAGCGTCTATAAAATAGACATGCCATTAAAGAAAAGAAGATAAAGAGAAAGATAATGAAAAGGAACTAGAAAGTCTGAGAAATGGTTCGTAGGCACTCTGAAGTGTCACGAGTGGACTTTCCACCATGCCTCGAGCCTTCTCTTTGAGCACATCACATGTTTGTTCTCCTCCGTAAAACCGAGGGCCTGCTCAATGCGGGTGCCGACGTCTGTCGCAGGTACGATTGCCGGACACTCAAGGAGCAAATGTTGGATAGTTTCTTCTACCTCACCACATGCACTGCACACGGTTTCGGTCACGTTCACATCGTACCGATGCCTGTAGATGCGGGTGCGTAAGGCACCACCGCGGGCCTCGGCAAGGAGTCGGCTGCCCAGTGTGTTTCCACACCAGCGGACGGCAGCGATGTTGGTCTTGAAAGTCGCGTATAGGTGCATGCTGGAATGTTCTTCCATGTCGGCTCTCCACCGATATATATATATATATATAATATATATATATATTTTTTTTATATATATATATATTATATATATATTTTTTTTACTAAATAATATATATATATATATATATATATTTTAGTTGGGAACTGGAATGTCCTCAAAAAGTTCCATGGCGAGGAGCGTGTACCCAGTCTTGGGTAGTAACGCGTTACTGTAACTTCGTTACTTTTTCGGTAACTTGTTACTCTAACGAATTACTTTTGGAAAATGTAACTTGTAACTGTAGTTCTATTACTTTTCTGAGGTAACGATGAAAGTGAAAGTAACAACGTTACTTTTGTCCGTACTTTCCAGTTTTTTATGAATAATATATCACTGAACGAGTACAATTTAGCCAGTCTTTGTGCTTTCCAAATTGTCTGTTCCGACATTTCGAGTGTGAAGTTATTTTTTGCACAAACTAGTGAATACGTTTTTTCTTGCCAGTCACGACTATAGCCACGTGTAGCCACGTGTCATATACACGTGCCACGTGCCGTATACCCGTGCCACGTGCCATATAGCCACGTGTAGATTTGGTGAAAAAAAAATATGTAGTTACCTTTAGCACGCGCTTGTACTTTGTGACTGAACACTTGCATCTTAGTATCTTGAAGAACTATCTCTTTTGCGGTTTTTCTTTTTTCTGCACAAACGATTTTTAATCGGGTGAATCAAACGTGAAACAACAATACACGCGGAGGGCACTGCGAATGTTTCGTATTTTGATTAGCGCCACCACTCCGCACTGCGCATGTTTCGTATTTTGATTTGCGCCACTACTCCGGTGTAGTGTCGAAGTCGAGGCAAAATTTACTGCCCTTTGCACGTGGTTTGTTTCTGGCTTGCCGGGTACGAACTGAAATATGTCCGGGGACTCTATGAACCCAGCGGAACCGTCAACGAGCCAGCAATGTGCTATAGTGCTACCAAGAATATGAATGTTGATAAGAACAAGGAAGAACTACAATGGACGGCGTACAGAGAGTATCTTGCTGTGGTGGAGGTGGTTACTAACAACATGACCGCAGAAAACGGCACTCGGTTACCTCAACGCCTACCCGGCAACCAAAACCTGTTCCGGCGGAATAACACAGGAATCCCATCCATTGCGTTAGACGAGCGCCTGTTGAGCAAGGGCAGGGACGTGTCCGTTATCGAACAAGGGAAACTTTCAGATACTAATTTTGAGAAGCAGCTGCTGCTAAGTTACAATATAAAGTAAAAAGCACACTTTTTAATTTTATGCAAACAAACTTGGTTAAAAGCGTTTTCTAGTTTTTCCTAATTTGTTTGTGTTATAGAAAAGTAACTGAAAAGTAACGTCGTCACTTTTAAATGTAACTGTAACGAGTTACTTTTTTGTTGCGGTAACTGTAACGGTAATTTCGCTACTTTTTTCTGAAAGTAACTGTAACGAATTACTTTTTAAAAGTAACTTAGCCAAGACTGCGTGTACCCAAATTTCAAAGGCTGAACTAATCCGTAAAAACAGCCGATCCACCCCCGATTGGAGAATGGATTTCTTTAAAGCAAATTTGCTTTCGAGTATTTGCATAATCCCAGGATAGGCTCGAGGGCTTTCAATTTTATATTCTGCCTTTAGCTGGAAACTGGGTTGTCGTCAAAAAGTTCCCTGGCGCGGTGCGGGTGCCCAAACTTCAAATGATAAACGAATGCCTAAAATCAGCCGAACCATCCCAACTTTGGGACCAGTTTTTTTCTAAATTATTTTCCTTGAGATTACGTTCTATAGTACAGGGATGGGCACGAACTCTCAATTTTAAATCTTGTCTTTAGCTGTGAACTGGATTGTCCTCAAAAGGTTCCCTGGTACGTTGCGTGTGCCCAATTTCAAAAGATGGACGAATGCCTAAAATCAGCCGAACCATCCCAACTTTGGGACCGATTTTCTCAAACGGGATTCGCTTACGAGGATTTGCCATGTTCCAAGATGGGCTTTAGGACTCTAAAGTTTATATTGTGCCTTTTTGCTGGAAACTGGGGTTGTCCTTGAAAAGTTCCCTGGTGAGGCACGAGTGCCCAAATTTCTAACGATGAACGAATGCCTTTTTTTTTTTGGTACTGTAGAAAATTTACTTTGGAAAACTTTCTACAGTTCCAGGTTGGGATCGAGGTCTCTAATATTTTTATATTCTATCTTTAGCTGGGAACTGAGTTGACCTCAGAAAGTTTCCTGGCGAAACGCGGATGCCTAAAATTAAAGACATGAACCAATGGCTAAAAAACTGCCGAACCATTCTCACTTTGAGACACCTTTCCTCAAAAAGGATTTGTTTGCGAGTATTTGCCATAGTACCAAGGTGGGCTTGAGGGCTCTAAACTTTATATTCTGCCTTCAGCAGGGAACTGGATCTTCCTATAATGTTCCCTATCGAAACGCCCTTGCCCAAACTTTAAAGAAAAAAAAAGAAATGAACAAGTGTGCAAAAAGGGCCGAACCATTCCCAATTTAACACCGGATTTTCAATAAAATATTTCATTTACGGCTCTTTTCCGAAAATGGAAAATGGGTAAAATAATTCCTACACCAAAAGGCAGCGAAGAAACATCTTTCTTCAACTATAGGCCCATTGCCTTAACTTCGTCGTCATGCAAAGTTTTAGAGCATATAGTTTTCAAACGTTTCAGATGGTTTCTTTCTTGTAACAAGTTTCCGAGCGATTACCAACATGGGTTTCGTGAGGGCTATCGGCAGTGACCCAGCTTGTAGAAACTGTGCAATTT